AATTCAATTTGAAATGGTTTAGATTATCCAGTCATTAATATTTCTGAGTGGAATTTGAATAAACATCTACTCTGAGATGCATTTAAATTCGGCTGACAAGTCCCAAATAGGATTAAACTAGAATAATGGGTTTCACAGCTATCTACATTTCATCTATTCTATATAGTGAAAGGTTTATAATGACTGAAGTTTGTGTGATCATTACGAGAACCTAATTACGGAGATAATATATCTTGATTAGCAGTGGTAACTTATTATTCATTATTATGTGAACGATAATTACGACTGTATCAATCCTATATGCTATAAGCTAGCTAACCATGCCTTAATGCTTTGGCTGCATTGGAATAGTGCTTAGTAAGATGAAATATGATTTTTTTTTCATCCAGCTCACTAACTAATTCAGATAATAAATAAAATTCAATGAATAACTCGGTTTCCATAGGATTAAAACCAATTATTTTTGGATAATTATCTCAGTACTCTACCAGCTGAATCATCAGAGCTCAACTTAGTCACCTTAGTGTTTATTGAGAAAACTAGATCTATGTTCTAATAAACACTTTAGTGGGATTATTTCGTCTGTGGGGTATGTTGCTCTTCATTTTATGCCATATAAATGAATTTTGTATGAATATAATATCTTGCAGTATATATCATACTAATTGTACGTCAACATCATTTAGTAAATTGATTTGAGAGTGAACAAGAATGGAATAGAAAATATTTTGGCTAAATTATTTTGGAATTCATTTCTTAAAAAATAATGTCACAAGTTAAAGTGTTTTGAAAAACTTCTGTATTACAATTTATATATATTCATTACAAAATGTAAAGGTCCCAAGCTTGTAATTAAATAAAGTCATGAATTTATATCATTGAAAAACTAAAATTTACTGAAATGTAAGTACTTTGTTATCTGACACTTTATATTTTATAAAATTTATTGAAATTTCATTAATCGGAAGGTAAACTAGTGGTAAACGATCAGGTACATTATATAGTTTAGATAAATTCATTTAATTTAGAATTTATTGATCAGTTATGTCAAAAAAAAAACTATATATCTCCCTGTTATAACTTAGAAAAAATACTGGTATTCATGATTGGTATGGCTACATGTTATAATTGTGGAGAAACTAATATTTGTTACTTGTCACAGCAGAATAGGGTCAACTTAATGTGAGGAAGATGAAGAGATTGCAAATGTGAATTTATCTGAACCATGTATAAATGTATAACAGATACAATCATTGATGTGATCATTGATTCAAAAACCATCTTAAAATTACATTGAATTATGTACTCCTAATAAAGAAAATCCTTTTTTTATACCTACATTTCATTATTTACTTTTAATTTGTATCAATAATTATTGAACGTTTAAAACCTCTCTATTTCATAAATAAGTCATCATAGGGAATACTATGTAGTGTAATTTTAATATCTAATTATTATATCACATTGTATATTCCATATTGAGCTAAATGAACTCTAGTTACTAATACTCTTCTTTATCATTCTACAATGTCTAAAATTTAATAATAATCAATCATAAATATTGATATTCAACTAGAAATGGGCTTTCATTTCAACAAATAGGAGAAATATAAAATCAAGAAATGAATAACATTTCTTTTATACTTATTAAGCTTATTATTTGATTCATAAAACACAGGGAATTAATATTTTATATCATCATTATAATCATCATTATAATGATCGTTTGAAGCGATTGGTCTATGTCATTGAAGTAAGCTGTTTATTTTTATGTTGAATATTTGTAAATAATTAATTAAAAAGAATAAATTGAGACTATATTATACAAAATCATTTATATTGTACTTTAGTACAATAAGGACAATCATGTATATCCAAAAAAAGTGAAGATACTTTCATTAGATAGAAGTAGAGAAGGAAGCTTCATGTTACATTTAATCGATTAATGATCATTTAAAATAACATTGAACAGCTATTTTAGAATTATGTTTATACAGTTTATTCATGAAGGTGAACAAGTTTTGAAGTGAGAATAAAATTGAATGAATAACATCTTATAATTATGGATAAATTAAGCTTTATAATGATAATTATCAGTACTGTCATTAGTTCATGCATACATATAACTGTACAAATATTAACTCAAAAGAAAATTTTCCACTATTTATAAAGTAATCAAATAACATATACATATATTTGACTAATCTTAAAGGTGTTGTGAACAAATACACAAAAAAAGCAAAAACAAATAAACATAATCTTAGTTCAAAATGTAATTTCTAGGGTAATTTGATTGAGTTTACTTTTGAGCACTATAATTTAAGTGAGCTATAAGGAAAGGTAATCTTATAAACCTCAAAAGTAGTATATATGGATTGTCAAAAGAAGTAAAACTTACTTGAAAGAGAACAAAGAGAACTTTTAAATAAACTGTATGATGATCATGCTTGATATTATTTAATAAAGATTAAAAAAAAGAACTCATGAAATCTATTATCATGTTCACTAATATCAGTATATTGAAGAAACAGAATTCAGGAATATCTCTTTAATTTATGAATACACTTAAGTACACTAGAAAGCATGTAATTATACACAAATACAAATAATAAGAATAGTAATAATTGATATCGTTGATAATGGAAATTATTGAAAAGTTTTCGTGAATGACAAATTGTTAGGTAGATGATGTAGACCAGCGTGTAGATCAATAGGTGAATAGGAAGACGGACATAAAAATTTATTAAAAAAAACTCGCTTTGAAAAAGACAGTCAATCTCAGTCAATTATTTGTTCATTTGTCTTTTTTTTAAAGGACAGAACTAATTATACAAATAGGAAATTAACAATTAAATAGAATTATAAAGTAACGATGGGAAATGACGTCTATACTGATGTCCAGTAGTACTAGGAAGATATATTTTCATAACAATTTTTTCAATCAAGCGAGTGACTATTCATTTTTAAATTTGCAAAGAAAATATAACTAAAAAAAATGATGACTGACAAAAAGAGACTTGTTTTCGTTTTTTGTATTTAAATGTGGTGATACTTCTAGGAAGTGATAAAACAAGAGACTAAAAAGATTAATAAATGTAAAAAGAATAAAAGAGAACATTACAGAATTAAAATATGAATATCACCAACTGATAACCCACTTCTTTCTAAGCTTTCACTTTATAATTTCCATTTTATTGTATTATACTGGTAATTGGAAACACTAGTAGTTATTAAGATTACAACTGAATTCAATTGGAGAATAAACCAGCAACCAACGGGGAAGGAAAAAGTAAGAATAAATATTGCTATATATATATATATATATATATATATATATAACAATGAAACTAATTCTACTCGTTAGTGAAGATTATAAATGAAATGGTTATTGGTGATAACAGATCAACTCTAAAGGAGGGTAATAATTATCACTATTATTTCTAAAAATGCATCTACTGGGTATAGACTAATAAATAACTAAGTAAATAAATAACTTTATGTATTACTAGGAATAAATAAACAAGATGAACAAGAGACATAAAATGCGAACTATGATTCTATTTTCTCATTGATTGTTCTTATTAATCATTTAGCTAACAGTAATAATGCTGCATGATTGATTACATGTTAACTTACAAATAGAAATAAACAAAATGTAATGTAAATATAAATGTGTGTGTGTGTTTGCGAAAGAACAATACAGTACAAGTAAAACGAAAGCAAAACGATTATTCTTGTAAAGGAAAAATCGAGGAAAGAACAAAAGACAAAATGGTTGTAGTTATTGTGAACGTTAAAAAACGAAGTGTGTAACCAAGGAAATTTGTATAAACATATTTTTATTTGGGAAAAAACAGGTCAAGTTTCTTATAGCTAGCTAAAGGAAAGGCAAGAAAAAAAGGAGAAAGAGAGCAGAAAAGTAAATAACTAAACAATATAGTTATGTGGACAGAATTCTACAAACAGAAAGAAAAATCAACTAGTATGGATGTTCTTGATGAATAGCATTTTTGGGTTGTGTTTTTATAAAGAAGATGAATTAAAGGCGAAATCTATTCAAATATTAAAATATCAGACAAATTTTAGTCATATCATAAAAAGAGATTTGGTATCATTCGTTAATCCTTTGTTCTTTGAATAACTTGGAAGAAGAAAGAAATCATATCAAAACAATTAGAAAAAGTGTCATAATCAGGTATGATTTAAACAAAAGGGGTAATAGTAAAAGAATGATTTGTTAGATAACAAAAAATTAAAAGTCAAATGAAATTCAAAAACTTTCTTTAACTGTATAGATGTAAATATGACTTTTAAGTGTATACACGTATGTAAAAAAGACCTGAGATGAAAGAAACTAAAGTAGTTCAATTAGGTATTTACGTTAAGCGTTAAGTTTTCCAGTACAGTGAATCAAAACAAAAGAAAGAAAGCTGAATAATATATTTGAAAGACAATTGTTCATTAATTCATTTTTGTACAAGTGTGATCTCTCTTAGTACTCAATGTCTCTTAGCATGTCATCGGTACACTTTTGTCACAAGTTATTCCCTATGTCCAACGATCTATGCTCTTACTAAAAATTCTTAACATCATCATTATTACTACTAGCAATATTATTAGTATTGTCATCATTGTTATTATTATGTGTTACTAACACTCAAATTTCTTCTTAGACTGACTACTGTCAAAAGTAACATTCTATTTTTTTCCGTGTTCTTCAACAAACATTTTTCATAAAACAATTAATTAAGGTAAATTACTAATATATTGACCATTTTGTTTATCTATTATCTGACTTGCACTCGTTCTTCTGTAAAAAATATTTCTGTCAAACATCAATATGAAATTACCAAATGTATTATTTCAATTAATGAGGGTGTGGGTTTTATTTATTAAAACAGAATAGCAGTCAACCATTTGGTCAATTAACCAGACATATGTATAACGGAGATGCCTGTTACAACAAAATGCTATATATATATATATATATATATATATATATATATATATATATATATATATAAGGAAAATAGGGAAAAGAAATATTTGTGTGTGTGCACATATGTAAATGTGTAAGTGTTGAAAATCTCTTATTGATAAATTTGGGAAGCAAGATATATGGTGGAAAAAAAACAGTTTAAGAGGGTGGTAAGGTTGTACTATTAAATATTTAATATTATCACTATTAGTATTGCCAACAGTAATAGTTTTTTCCCTGAACGTTATACAACAAATATCGAAAAATTCATAAAACATAATAATAAGGCAAATCAAGATAAAAGAGAGAAAAAGGAGCTGAGAAGGCACTTAATCTGTTTTGGCGGTAATACAAATGGTGTGTAAACGTGTATATATCCAACAAACAATATAATCTAATAATATGAGGTTTTAGTAATATTAATAGTGATAATAGTGAACTATGATAAAGAATAGGAATAAAGTTATTTTTATAAGTAATGCTACATTATTTCTCCATTTTTTTCACGATACATTGAACAGTTAAATCCAGTTATATCAGTGAAAAGTATTCTCTCGTTTTTTGCACAAAAGAAATTATACTACTCATTTTGTAAAAAGTAAGTTAGTTGTTGTTTACAATAACATAGGCATATATATTTATATTAGGCGAAGTGAAAGTAAAGTGTCTCAAATTACGAAAGTCATATCCTATTAAGAAATCGAAATGCCATGTTTGACTGATTGATCATTTGACAATACTTGTCAGTTAGTCGATCATTTGATGATTGAACATTTGAAGGAACCAGAAAAAATCTAACGAGTACACTAAGTACTCATATCTGAAATATCAATATTGTCGAAATCGTTAAATCCTGTACAAATGAGTTCCTGTCAAGTCAAAAAAGAGAATAAAAATTTCAAAATAATGCTAGCTTAAGAGTCGAAATCTTTAAAAGTTGAAAAGTGTATCAAACCGTGTTATGCAATAAGTTTTTCAAACTTTAAGGAATAAAACTTCAAAACATAACAATTTTAGGAGTGATTATATAAAAAAACAGCAACAGTTGTGGAAGTATTTAGATTAAGGGAATGTTTTAGTTCTGTTTGACAAAGTTTTTCTTTGAAGGCAATCCGCTTGTAGTCTAAACAAGAATCTGGACGTCGTGGTAGATTATACAAAAATAATGCCGAATATTAAACCCACTCCAGCTAACGACAGTGCGAACATCATAATTGAATACTTTAGTAATATTTGACTTATCAAAAAGACTACATTTTACATCACTGTAAAAAACACAATGTCAGAATGGGTAAAAGTAAACACAAAAACAAACAAATGCAAACAGAAATAAACAATTATTCAGCAGAATTTCACTTCCACATCTGTGATGGGTCTCATGAACATCAGGCGCAACTCACGCAAACAACCACATCGAGAAATCATTCATTTAGCAATGCCTATCTATGTGAGTCGGAAAATCTAAATAGTCTCCACATATATTGTTGTATTCACAAACTGATTGTTAACAGACGTCATTTCATAGACTGTATGTCACAACTGAACGCTAACAATTGATATCGATGTCCATATAAAAATTCAGATAGTTTATTGATTAGGAGTAACATAGATGAGTTTTTATATAGAACACTTTCCCTTTATGGAACAAAGAAACTCATCAGAAGCATTGATGGAGTTTTCTAAGTACGTTAAAAGTGTACATGTTTTGTATTTTTAAGTCATTTTTATTAAGAATTCATCATTCATTTCCCCTGTTCTGTATTAGGTTAATTATAAGAAAAGACTAAAACTTATCCTTATGGTACAGGTTTACTCATAAATCCCCTTTTATTTGAACTCTCAACTTTTACGGTCAGCAAGATATCTCTAATTTGAAATGAAACGGTTTTAATTTTTGACTGCAAATGAATGGCGATGTAGTGTGATCTTTATCCAAAATCATCTATGAGGTACTATTTCACTGCCAATGTAGATGTTTCCACTTAACAAAGCTTACTGTTGGAATGCCATGAACTCCTTAATACGGATAGTTACTAGCAAATAAGCTGTTATTATTAACACTTTCTAAGTTGAACTAATATCCGAAGACCACCTAATTTAGTGTAAAGTGCATTGAGTAAAATCCGTACATGGCAGTTTGATTTCATCTACTTTCTTGACACCATTTGACAAACATCAGTTGATTAAATAACCAAAAGGCTAATTGTCTTGTTGATAATGCAAGACATTTAAAATTTTGATGGAGTAGCTATTTTGAAAAATGATGAATTTTTCCCACCCATTTTGTAAAGTTATTTCCTAGAAATTTAATTAATAAATTCAGTTACCTCGTTTGATAGATTAGCTTTTTTGAAGCCTGTTAAATCATGAAAGAATGCAGTTATTGAGGTGTGTTTACTAAGAGGAATAAAAGATATTTCGTTTAATACAGAGACAGATACTCAATGTAAATTTCGAAAATGGTTGAATCCTTATTTTCAGTTTGTACGACTCATCTCATAGTAATCAGTAGCCTATTGATTTCCGGTAGTAATTAATTTTTTATTTAGAGCTGATAGATACTGTGTTCCATCATATTGATTAAAAACTGAATGTTAATTAGTGAATTAGATAACTTATTAGTAAATATTAAAATTAAACTAGTTAACTTAATGGATTGTGTTTTTAAAAAAATCAGTGAACTTCATTAGACAATTGAAACATACTTCATTCGGATAAGCGATTCCTTCCATATGTTCTGCACCACAAGCACCGATGCCTAAATGAAAATTAAAAATGAAAACATAATTATTTGCTGATTAGAAATATATGAATATATACATAAAAAGTATCAAACCTTCGAATGCTTAGTTCCTCTAATTTAATACGCAAGTATTTAGCAATGAATGGAGTGGAGCTAATGTTAACGTGTCTTTTTTGCTTTATCATCAGTAATTTGTATTTTGGTGCCTGAAAGACTGGAGCGTTTAAAGTTAAATGTTACTAACAACCTGGTGAACTGAAATTAACTTGTCCTGATGGTGAACTTTGACTACATGATTTACGGAGGGGGGTAATACTAGGACAAAACAGCTGTTCAGTACTTCATGGTTTTCAGTCGTATTTCAAATGAGATCAATCTATAACGAATACCGTCTGAAGATTAGTCTTCACTAAACTGCTTCATCTAAAATATATGTTGAATTATTATAATGTTTATGAATAATTCCTTATCACTAGTGTTTGTACTTTCTTTTCTAAACCTACTTAAATAAAATGATATATATATATAATTTATAGCTGAAAAAGTCCCATTATATTAAAACACAATTATGTTCTTCTTTCATATAACTGTGTTTTAAAAATTTATCTACAGTAATAATTTCCTCCATACATTGAGCCATATTAGTCTTGTTCCATTGTAGCATGTATCAGTTTGTTCTCAGTTGCAGTAAATAGTTAGACCAGTAGTAGGATAACAGTTTATTTTTTATTAAAACATCAGGTCCTTCCAGAATCATACTGTTAGTATTATCAGTATTTTGTGAAGATATAACATTACCCAGTCATTTAGTTGGAATTTTTCGAACTGTTTTTACGAATGACCATATCTGTTCGTGATGAAAACTATAGTGGAATTTAATTAAATATTTTCGGAAAAAATCATACATCTAATCCTAAAAAAGTATATTATTACACGTTTGTATTTCTTTTGATCATGTATGCCTTTAGGTAGATAGATGTCTCAAATTATTTAACTTGAAATGTACAATATAGAGGTTTATTCATTCATTCGACAATCAACAAATTCTCTAATAACACATATTATTTCATTAAATCAGTAGGTACTAGTTGAAATATACATAAATATTTTAACGACTTATTAAGAAAAGAGGCAACTTTGATTCATAATGAGATCTTGTTTGTTCATCCTTGATAAGCTCATAAACTAAGGTAAAATAGTTATCCAATAGTCTCTAGCTTACTATGATTCCCAGGCTGATATCGATTCGTGATATAAAACAACTTAAAAATACTATTTAAATGCACATAAAATCTTCTGTATGCTGTTTTATATATAAAATGTGAATTAAGGAAATCTGAGGTTAAATTCAAATTAATTCAACATGATAATATATAATAATGACATTATCAATATAGTTATCATACTGGAACTATGGACAACTTTCTAAGTTTGGTTGGATAAAATTCTGTTTTCTTGATAATCATAATTTTGTTATTTTTAGACAAGACTATATTGGAAAGATGACGATTAAGAGTAGTGGAATCAGTAATATCAAAGACATTCCTTATTAAAGTGTTATCGTAGTATTTGGGACTGTTCATCATTGCTAGTATTTATTTGCTTCTGTACCACAACATTTGGTATTACATCAAAGTGAGTGATCTGCAATTTTGATTAATAAAACTGTTACGCTTACCGAAGCTATTCTTCACATAGAGTATCAAGTGTTCGGGGTTTCTATATACCTTATCCGGTCACATTAATTGAACACTAATCTAACGCATATTAACTATCAGTATAGGGGTTGTGGAGATTTTTAAGTTTTGATTGACATCATGAACCGATTAATGTTAGAACAACATTGAAAACCTGGAAGCACTGGACGGCCGTTTTGTCGTATTCTTGGACTCCTTAGCGGTGCGCACCCACGATCCCGCTCGCGGGATTTGAATCCAGGGCCTTCAGTCTCGCGTGCGAACGCTTAATCTACTGAACCACTGAGGTGGCATCCAATGGTTTTAATGTCTAACCTCAACCAATCCACGAAGCTGCATAATAACTACTGTGATGGCTTTTTGTACAAAGTGTTTCATTTCGGTTTCATTTAAGAATTTAGGAAAGGTGCATTAATGATTCTGAGTGTAATATTATCAACAAAATATATATTATTTAGTTGAGTTTTTATTTTTCTATCTCCTGGTAATGCATAATGGCGATGAAATCTAGCTTTTAATTATCAGACGTTTTCACGACCATCACATGAGAAAGCCATTAGCATGGGTTTGTAATTTCCGTTTGTTGATATGTAGAACTTCAACTGATCAGTTTCTGCTGCTAATCGAACATCCGGTGTAGATTGTCTCAATATAGAGTTGAGTGTAATCCTAGATAGGGTTTTCATCATATTTTAAGGTTGTCAGCCGGATGTCCTCATATTTTGTGTGACAGTGAACTTGTACTTTATTGATTTTAATGCTTCTAAATATCCCTGGAAGATTTCAAAAGCTAGAATCGATGTCGTACTTGCTTAGCTGCAATATATCACCAATGTTCAGTATCCCCAGATATTCGGAGTCTTCAGTACAGCTTTATCAGTCGGTGCTGCAGTCTTTCCTTCTGAGCTTTTGGTCAAGCCCAACAATTTTCATGGACTGTTTTCTCAGTCCAAACTGTTCTGAAGAAGTACTGTGCAAAGACGATGCTTCGTTAATACTCCTCTGAAAAGGAAACTAGATACGTGAAGGCGCAAAAGACTACATACATTCAGTCTTCTATATCAATACAGGAGGTCAATAATCATTCATAACCAACAATTCCAGCAGTTTAGACTGCTTGCTGATTAAAACGTTAGGCAGTTGCTACAAGAAGCCATGTTTATGAAAGCTACAAAACATCTAAGTACAAATTATTTATGAGAGAGGATAATCTTAGTAAACATTGGATATAAGCAGCACATTGTCATCTTAATTACTTTCAGTACATTTTGTTTATCTATTTAAATTGTAATAAAACGATAGAAATGACCTAATTGATTGTAAGTTAAACTAAATCCTGTATGTTATGTACGTATGGTTCATTTGATTGAGTGACAGAGTACTGTTATTGTACGGATAACAGTATTACCGCACACACGTACATACACACACAGCCATCCACATATAAATACAGATAAACACTTTAACATTAGCACACATCTATTGAGTAGTGTTATTTATTTCGTATGACCTTTGTGAATTTAGTACATTTTATGTGTCAGAATGTTTTTTAAACTTTTATTTTTATAATTTACTGATTTTTTCTTTGTTATTTGCTAGTTTCATAATTCATGGAGATCATATTAAGGTGTATAGACCATTGTACGTATGTGAGTATATATACACACATGTAGATAGATCTGTTTATGTGTGCAAAAGAGTAAATGTACTCATATCTATTTAAAATGACGATAAATTAAAGTATTGGTTGTATTGGTTTTCTCTACTGTAAAATCATACTAAATGGAAAAAAAGAAGCTGAATCTATATTTAAATACGTCAATTTTCAGTTCAGTTAGTAGAATCTTTACTTTCCTTCATATTAGTTTAAAACAAAGTTAAATGTGAATATTAAGTAGCTATTTCTTCCTATTATACAGCTCTCCGGCCATGTACACCCACTATACTACAAAGGATCTATCCCCATGACTTCTAGATTTCTCGGAGAGCAACTTAATAGATACATCATTAGGTTGATATCTAATCATTCTGATTTCCGATTTCAATAATTTTATAATATAAACTTGAAGGTTCTGGTTTAGATCTCTTGTCTAGTGGTGGATACACACACTAGTTAGTAGTCTTATACTATAAAGAAACAACTAAATAGTACTCTCAGATTTTTTTGTTGTTGACCGAAATTCAACAGAAGTTAGTCCATGAGAATTATCACTTGTACATTTAGAAAATCTGAATAAAAATGAAAGGTGAATAGTTAAAAGAAGAAGCTACATTAAACCTATTCTCTCTTATTTAGTTCAATTAAATTACATAGAAACTAATTTCTATGATTAATTTATAAATAAATGAATAAACTTTAAAACAAAATTTATAAAAATTAACGTATAATTATTAATATTATTTTTATATTATTCATTAAAAGTCAATTTAATAATTACTAGCTCATTTGTTTCATAACAAAGTTTCAATTATATTGAGTTTTTGTAATAAATTCATCTTTTTAAAAAAAAAATAGTTTTCACCATCAAACATTCTGAAAGTTCATTATTAGTCTAGACATAGTTGATAATAGATTGAATCCAAAATAATAAAACAAAAATTATTGCAGTAATAAGAGTTGACTCGTTTTTCATGACGAATTCTGTTAGATGTTTTTTTCTACACTTGTTTTAATACACTTCAGTTTATGAATAGGATTAAATGCTTTAATATCTTGAAAGTTTAATCACTTTCTACAGGAGTGATACTGTGGTGTGGATTACTTATATCCACGTAAGTAGTATATAACGGTGGTCAGGTATAGAATGTATTTCAGTAGAAGATTGGGAAGGAAAGAACAGGAACGGAACAAAATTGGTATGAAAATGCATGAACAATCAAGTGACTGATATTTGCAAAGGAATGGACAAATTTGAGACGATGGATTGATATTTTACAAATTAACTATTCACTATATGGTTCTCAGATTTTATTGAGATGCTCTGTAATTTTGTGCTCAAAAGCATTCGATTGTTCCCATTCATGTTCTTATTCACTACATTTGGTTTCGTTGCTACTCATTACAATACTTATTTCGAACAGTGCTTTAATCATAAGTTTCTAATTTTCTTGAAATGATCTTAATCGAGAATGAATGTTGTGTTTAGATAAGTGAGTTAAAATAATAGATGACTTGTATTGTTTTTGACCTGCTTATTTGATTTTTTTGAATATATAGGTGAAATAGTTATCCTCTTTATCGTTGTTCGTTTTAGGTTCATATATTAGCTATCTTTGAGAATCATATTATTCTATTGCTAGTTTTATGATAAATCATGT